AAAGTGAATATAGTGAATAATATGGAGATCCCGTCATTTCTTTTTTCACCATGTTTCTTTTTTATTATTTATGTACAGCCTTGCTAAATCTTGCTAAGCATTCAAAAGAGAGAATGTTTTCACCTGTTATCTATATTTTAAAGTCGTTTTTTTAGTATGTTCCATTATTCCCAATTCTACAAAATTTCAACAGTCTATAGCCAAGACTGTTTGGATAATAAAAAGCAAAAAAAAAAAATGTCATTCCCAAGTGCCCACGAACCTGCATCTCTACCTTAATAAGAAATAATATTTTTAAAAAGAAAATTGATACAAACTCTTCATTAATTAACACTATAGATATAACAAGCAGCCTGTTGGCTGAGATAGCTCCGCTGTTAGCAATGCACATTGCAATTAAAGAACAGAAGATATCATTAGAAAATGAACAATATGTATAGTATCAAAGCAACAGGACTCACTGTTTTCAACAAGAATTCAAAAATATCACTTTTCACCAAAAATAATCATCAAAATTGGATAATTGAAGATATCACCACGAAATTAACAAATCTGAAAGAGGTCCACATGTAGTACCTATATAAGTAATATAAAAGCAATCGATTCTCAACAAGAAGTCAAAAATATCACTTTTTACCAAAAATGACAAAAATATTCACCAAAATTAGAGAATTTAAGATATCATTACAAAATGAACAAATCTGAGAGAGGTCCACATGTAGTACCTATATATGTAATATCAAACTAATTAGACTTGTGGTTTTTAACAAAAAGTCGAAAATATCACTTTTTACCAAAAATTACAAAAATATTCACCAAAATTAGAGAATTGAAGATATAATCATGAAATGAACAAATCTGAGAGAGGTCTACCCAAGGTACATATACACCAAGTATCAAAGCATTCAGGCTTGTAGTTTTCAAGAAGAAGTCGAAAAAGTAAAACATTGACATGGACGACGACGACGGACAATCACTCATATGATAAGCTCCGCTCGACAAAGTCAACAGCGGAGCTAAAAAATACAAAGAAGAAATACAAAGTATTCAGTACCAATTTGGGAAATTGTTATTCAAAGTAAATAGAAATGTGGCAGGACCTGCAGTGTTGGGGGACTTAGGATGGGAAGACTTGAATTACATCCAAGATAAAGTGTGGATTCAATACCTGGATAGACTTCAGAAAATAAAAAACAATAGATGAACTAAAATAGTTTTTAAAGAAATGTATAGTATAAAAACAAAGTTAAACCGGCTTGGAATTGGCCTAAATATGTAGAAAACATTCTAGTGACTAATGGCATGGATCATATCTATGGAAATGAAACATCCAAAATGGATAAGAAGTTTTATCAAAATCAGTAAAGAAAATGAAATAAACATGTTTACACAAAATTTAGAGAAGATGAAATCTTTAAAACATTACTGTTGGATTAAAAGAAACATTAAAAAAAGAAAATTACATAATGGATCTTTATGATCATCATGGTATCTCCCTTATCTTTAAAACTAGGTCAAAATTACAGGGGTAATGGAATTTGTGGAGTCTGCAATCAGGGCAAAGAAGACATTTACCACTTTCTTTATCTTTGTACGTCATCTAATCATATAAGAAAGGAATTTTATTTAGCATTAGAAACATCACTGAGAAACAATGTTGAATCTTCATCACTAATGAATAGTTTTCTTTCAGGGGGGTTGAACTATAGGTTCAATTTCCTTTTTGGTAATACACTATGGAACATAAATGAAAATGTGGGAAGTACCTCGTCAGCTTTAATTAGGAAATATGTAACTGATTTATGGCATTATAGAAAAGAAATAATGAATGTAATTTAAAGGTACCGGTATGTATTACCAGTACTGTTTTCATGGTGTCGATACAAAGGTTGAATAAACATTATTATTAATATAATGACATGCATGTGTTCCAAATTTGAATTGAATCCATCAAATCATACAACGTGTTCGAAATATGACTATGCATGCATTTGTACACTGTGCTTTCAGTTAAGAGTTTGCAGGTTCAAATCTAACCGTTAAAAAGAGTTAACATACGAATAAGCATTTGTATGAAGACCCTTGTGGACAAAATCACAAGTTTAAATGCCGGATTAGACTGCTACAAAAAATGAAAAAAAAAATGAAAAAAGACATGTACAGTTTAACACTTTAGTTAGAATCTATTGACTTAGAAATTGAATGTACTGGATTTGCATCATGAATAAATTAGTATAATTTATTAAAATTTGCATAAACTATAGGTATGTCTACTGGACTTTTTCCAAATGGTGAATATTTGAATCCTACAAGCATTCTACATTTGAACACAGTGAATCATTTGATCAAAAGCATATGCAGATGATCTTGTATTAATGTCACAACCCCCCCCCCCCCAAGTTCACACATTTGGCAGGGAAACAAGTTCTATTGTTATTTTACATGTTCACATATATTTAATTTAGCAGATTTTACTTATCAACGAAAATTGTAAAATTAAAACACAGTGAATAATTTTTGAATTTACAGTAATAGTCCGTCACTCATGCAATTCAATAATTGCAAAAAAAAATAGAAGTTTGAATCTAATGTCGTTAGCTTCATGCGAATTCACATTAGCACATTCAGAATTTCCCAAACAATTGATACGAAATAAATAATCCATGTTGTGAAAGGTTCATGATTTTGTACTTGTGGCATATCATTGCCATGTGTTACCGGTATATGTCGCCCTCATAAGTTTATAATTGACATTCTGAGAGAATACATGGTAATAAAACAAAAACATTTACTCAAGGCAGTAGATGTACTTGGTTTGGATAATTATAAATGTTTCACCTGCGTTCAAAAGAATCGTTGAAACTTCTTTTTCAATCGAGTCTAATTGCAGTAAGCGTTCATTGACCGAAGTAGCCATCTTGGATGCCATGATTAGCTGGTCACCTGATAGTAGGGAAAACAAAAACAAAGGTACAGAAAATTTGAAATTTACTATAAATCTAGGAACGAAACTTGGAATTATTCGATAAATACTGAAAAAAGAAAAGAAAATGTACCTCGCGGAAACAAAACAACGTTTTGAGGCGAATAGCATGGATAAAAATGCACGTTAATCCCCTTTCAAAACCACGATCTACTACGCGTGAGCTTTCCACGCCAATATTATCGCATTTTTCTTTGGGTGACTGAACTGTTGCAGAGAATGGTATGGAGGTAACGTTGGGATGAAAAGTACAGCCGTATCTACCTCATTTCTACTTTTCTTATTAGTTTTTTAATATTCAAGCTATTTTTGAGTTTTTATATAATGTATATTTTGAATATAATAATCCGGACGAAGTTGGCTTTATTAAATACAAAACATGTACTAAAAATGGATTATACCGGCCCCCAAATGGTTTATTCCAATACCCAATAATAGATATCCTATCAAGTTGTGTCTAACAAAATGACGTTCGGGGTCGCTCACCTCCAAACATAACTGTCCAATCACACGTAGCTTTACATCAGTGACCTGAATTATGCTACATCGTTCAAAAAATCGGAAGTGCTTCCGAGAGTCAAGCTGTTGTAGTGGGTTCTTTATCCGGATTCATCGTCACAGAATCGCCTGAATTCTCGTAACATTCTCATTGTAGGTAAGAAATGTGAAAGTCGTATATTTCGAGAATGCGTGGACGGCTCAAGGATGCAATATATCTTGTAGTTTTCGATAATTGTTCATAGAAATTCTTCTCGCTTCTCGCTTTCCATAAATTACGATGAAAATGTTGAATGTTTAGAATTTCCTTCTCACAATTTCTTGAACATCTGAGTTCGTTTTTTCGGCCTAAACAGCTTTATTTCACACACCAGAAACATTCGTTTATCAAAATGTTCAGAACTGGTGGCGGAGCGTAGAAATTAAGGTACGAATCGTGTACATGTTTTTGCTCATGGTATTTGTGATTTAGTGTCGCCACGAATATCGGTCGGCCGAGGAAAACCCCCGCTAAAATCATAGCTAAGAGTCGATCTCTGTCTTGTGCACATAACGTAACATAAGAATTCCGCATTTTTTGAAAAAAAACAATCAATAATCAACTTGATTAATATATTACCGAAATTGTCTTTAAAAGAACCGCCTAGCCTGTTTATTGTTTGCCCATTTTCACGTCCTGTCTTACATACGTCATTGTATCACAATTCATGTACATTGACTGTAAATGTGAATGAATAAATAACATCACTCCTTAGTAAATGAAATTTCAAGTCCATGAATTCAAATTAGTTAACATAAAATGAGTGACATAATTACAATACATTTTAATATAATACAACATTTCTAGTCACTATTTGACCGTTCGTCAATTATGTTGCACCTGTACATCTTAGTCGTCATGCCTGGACGGATCGCATTCAAACTTCACATGACATCGATAGTGTTCACATGTGTGGACATTTTGGAGTTTTTGTAAACATCACCCTTGATATTTACTCAAAACTAAGCTATTGAACTTTTAGTAGAAATTAGGGTATGATTGAGCCGTAATTTTATTTATCTCTGTTCCAATTTTTTTTACAATTTCAGAACTATCAATTTTATTTATTTGGCAGTGTAGAAGGTTACTAAAAAAGGCCATGATCTCAGACGTAATGCAAGTTTGAATCGTCTGTACTTTTTTTTATTGAAGTCTGAAAAAAAACATCATTTCCGACCTCCTCAGAGCCCCTCCAGAATAGCTTTCCACTCATAATCCTTATCATCCCGGTCAACAAATTCACTTGAAGACTGCTTTTCTCGCACGGACGAAACCATCATTATTAGGTAATATAACAATGGATATTCCTTTATAAATGCGTTTGATCGGTTGTTTATTGGGTTAAAAAGTTAGGCCCAAAAACAAATGTGGTATACGTCCCATCAAAGGAAAAACCACATTTGATGTCTGTTCTTCAGTTGTCCGAGTCTTCACAGAGAAGGTAAACTGTTGCTAAAGAGTAAAGCTTATTGTAACCGGTCTTAATACCGGGTCCCAGGTTTTATCCTTAAGTTTCAAAGAATTTGCTCGGATGCAGTGTAATACAATAAACTCAACTTTTATTATACAACGGCTAACACTGTGCTATTGAAAGTACCATAAACCTAGGCAAGTCTATGATAAAGGATACACCATTTCAAGTAAACATCCATTGTTACTCTATTACCGTACTAGACCGCGTTAGCGCCCAAAACTAGCCATTTTTGAGAGGTAAACTGAATATGGCATGAAATATTTACCGCATTTTACTTGTATTAACAGGTCATTGTCGAAGCGTAGTTTACGCACGGTTACCGTGTTCTACGCATTCACAACATGTTCACAACAGTCAATATCCACGCTGTATCATATAAAAATGATTACCAAGATTCGTTACGCAAGACCAAGTTTTAAATTAGTTGCATTCTAAAGGGGTGGGCGCTTTGCCGAATGTGACCCCGAATATAAAAATTGCGCAAAAGTGGGGGTGGGCGCTTGCCTGGGCATGGGCGCTAACGCGGTCGAGCACGGTAATTTAGTAATTTGATTTTTCCTCAAAGACGTAATCTGTCACTTGATGAATCAAAATTTTCATTTGCACTCTTTTTCGAGGGGGTTGCTCGGCTAAGCGCCCACCCCTACAAAATCGTGATTTTCTGAGTTGAGGCCCCTGGGCGCTAACGCGGTTGAGTACGGTACAGTATTCTTATTCTCTTGCTATTTCTGAACAGTAAATAGTGCGTGTTTAACAACACTAACTAGCATTGATTTCTAACCGCACCAACACACTGGTTGTAGTGGCAACGAGCGGAATAGCCTACATAAACTTCGCTAAATATTACAATATACATAAACGGCATAACAGACTAAAATTGCAGTCAACTCTCAAATTTTCAGATCTATAATAGTCATTAATACTCAGTGAAGTCAATAGGAAAACAATTTGTAAACTCATCAAAATGTTCAAAATACAAATAGCCATGATGCAATACACACAGGTTTGCTGCACCGTTGAATACAAAAAAAATCAAAAATACAGTAAAATATTACTCATTAATCTAAAACTCTGAAATGTACAAGATCAGTACATACCTGAAATGATTATAAAGCACCCAAGGACCAACAAAGTTCACATATAGCACAAAAGAAGAATTTTTGGCAGCGCGCGAACTAAATGTGCGGCAGGTTCACTTTCGTTCAGGCGGGCGTTGGGGCAAGGGTCAAATAGCCTCATTACTATTCATGAGCATACGCACCAATAGAGGGCGCAGTACATATAATAATACCATTCGGGTTACATTATGATAATCCTTAATTTCCCTATATATGTTCATCATCCTTCTATCTTTCATATAAGCATGTTTGCGACTAATAGTAGCAGTTTGTTTGAGAAACATGCAGGAACTGAAATTAAAATTCACTTAAATTTGTAGTTCTGTGTGAAACGTACTGTGGCACTCCTAACCAATTCACCTTCCCCCTTACACATTACTTTTTAATGATTTTTTACATTTTCAGTAATTTCTGTTTCAATTATTTTTGTATAAAACAACTAATTGAGAAAACCTGACAGCTCAGATATGTTGATAAATTGATTATGAATGATTCTGTCCAGAAAAATGTGCGTATCAATTGCAGTGTTGTGGAGATAAATGTACATGTAGTCTGGAAAAAAGAATATCCAGAGAAAAGGAATGGCTTCCAAATCATGAAAACTGAGTTAGTGGTCCTAAAATATTTCAGATTAAAAATTTGAATATTTTAACTTGTCATTTCATATGCCTGTACATTATTTTAACAATTTATATACATGTATTTTTTTGAAGGTGAACAATGAGCAGTCATAACTTTCCGCCAGGGGCGGATGAACACTCTGATCAAAGAGAAGATCAGCGACCAAACCAAAGCCAAGGACAAGATGAAAGAAAACCAGAGTCAGTTGTTCGACCAACCTCCCAACAGGCACATCTATCTCATGTACAGCCAATACCTATTAGTCAGCCACATGGTCCTTCAGCTCCTCCAATGTTACAACCTCTTATAACGACACAACCACCAACAGAAACAGTCAAGCCATTTTCTGACTCTTTAACTATGGTTAGTTTTTTGACTCCCATGTGCGAAGCACAAAATGGGAGTCTTTGCAGTTAGTGTGTCTGTATGTGTGTATGTGTGTATGTGTGTGTGTATGCGTGTGTGTATGCGTGTACGTGTGTCCGACTGTTCCACTGCTATCTCAAGAACCATACATCGGTTTTTGATGAAACTTGGTGCATAGATGCTCTGGGCCAATGCGCAGATTTGATTAATTTTTGGTAAAAATCCGTGCATATTAATTACCTAATTTACATGATAATTAGCTATTTTTTAGTGGTTCCATGACTGTTCCACTGATATCTAAACAACCACTCATTGGATTTTGATGAAACTTGGTACATAGATGCTCTGAACTAATGCTAGGTTTTGATTAGTTTTTGGTAATAATCAGTGGATACTAATTACCTAATTTGCATAATGATTAGTCAATTTTCGGTTTTTCCACTGATATCTCAAGTACTAATCATCACATTTCAAATGAAACTTGGTACATAGATGTCATACGACACTGCACAGACCTGATAGTTTTTATGGTAATATCAGTACATATTAATTACCTAATTTGCATAATTAATTAATTTTCAGCATTTGATATAAGTAGTTAGCATTACATTTCAATGAAACTTGGTACTTACATACTCAAGGACTATGCAGAGATTGATTGTTTTCGATAAATATTTGTGCATATTAATCACCTAATTTGCATAATTAGTTAATTTTCAGCTTTTCCATGGGTATCTCAAGTACTAATCATCGCATTTCAATGAAACTTGGT